AAAGGAATTAAATTATCCAGCTAAATTAAATCAATATAGTAGTTAAGTATGAATGAAAAAAAGATTTCTGATTTCATAATGAATTTCTCTCCACTCATTCAAAAGTTTATTAAATAATAACTTTTACAAATAAACTTTAAAAAATAAAAAACATTTTTAAAAATATCAGAAAATGAAGAAAGTAATTTGTTAACGAATAATTCAAACCGGTGGCAGTTCGTACAATTCGATTTAATGTTTGATAGCCAAGAATTTGAAATTGTGGTACATTAGTTTTTTCAACTCCGTACACAGCATTTGGATGATTCCAACGCATCAGAACTTCTGACGTTGTATAACCGTCTGAGAGGAATTAATGCTAATGGAAAGCATTTTCACAAAATTGTTTAAAACATATTTCATTTCATAGCGTTGCAATTATTTGATATTTTATAATTGAAATTTTCAAAAAAATTGCTATCAATTTTTTTCTTTTTTCTAATTTATTAGGAAATTCAAAAATTAATAACAAATCGTTTTTTTTTTCAATTCCTTTTTCATCAACCAATTATGATAATATTTTATCTGAAAGATATTAAATGACTTACAACTTTCAATTTCTAATGTACAATTTTGATTATCCAATGGATAATTCTTTAAATTCATATGACATGCAAGAGTTGTCGTAAATCTGTAATTAATTTTGTTAAAAGAGGAATTATTTATCACATCTAAAATTGTAAAACAATAAAAAAATTTGCAATTCATTATATTTAACTTCAATATTAATAATGTGTTCGCTTTGTCTTTTGTTTTTTAAATGAATTCATCATTTTTAGCATTCTACATTTTCAATTTGTTTATGCAACACTTTGCATTTCCTATTTTGAATTTTGTTCTTCATTCTATTTTCTATGATAAGGCTAGAAGGAAAAGTGAGCTCAATAAAAATAAAATTTAAAAATTAGACTTCTAAATTAAGAGAAGTATATTATGCGTTATGTTGATTATTTTAAAAATATGCATGCATATTTGAAATATATCTTCAAATTATTATATAAAATTTTCTTACATATCTTACATATAATAATAATTTATCGATTATTGAAATTTTATTTCTAAGCTACTGTTAGTTAAAAATGAATTCCATTATCATACAATGTTTGTTATATTCGGTACAGTACACTAGAAATACATCTTTATGCAGCAATTATCAATTCGCACATTAAAACTTTATAATTCTAAAATTGAAACACCTGAAAGATTATCAGGATAAGTTGCATGAACAAGTAAGTAACCTCATCCCATAAGTAATTTGTCCATTATGCTCAATTCGAATCACTTTATTCTCTTCCGTGACTTCATGTAGAAATGATTGTTTGTCATTTGCCAGGAATGTGTCCGGTACCCAAATATGTCTGAAAGATAAAGAAATGTTTTTAAAACTTTTCCTAAAAAATTTATGCATACTTTTTCAAAAGAAAAAAAAATCGCTTAAAATGAATGATTTTGAATGACTATTCCACTTGTCATCCTATGATTTTCCATTTCAAATTCTTAGCTTTTTAAAAACATTTGAAAATTTTTTTATTCCATATTTCACACAAACTTTTTTGAAACATTAAAAATTTTTGAAGATCGTATGAAACTAAAACCACAAATGGCTTGCAATAATGAAAGGTTATGGGAATTAATCAAACAATTATTTTAATTTTAAATCTAAAAGAAAAAAGACTATACGGATGCGGAAAAATTATTTCTTTCCATGTATTATTTTTCAAGTTTAAATTAAGATTTCATTTGCAGATGTTGATTTGTGAACTTGCATGAGTGTAGATTATTATTTTAAAAATCTCGGGAAATTACTGTGAGAAATCTCCGGAAAATGTCATATCATCGATATGAAAATGACGTGACCAGGAGAGCCGTTTATCTCGCCAATATTGATGTAAATACATCGTTATTGTATAATCCTGAAATTTAATAAGAAGAGCAATTGATTTCGTTTAAATTTAAATTTCAAATTCATTTAAACTATTTGAGCATAAAAATACTAAATATCGCATATTTCACGCAAAAATTCCAACAAATATGCTACACTCATTTCAAATAAAGCGGCATAATGTCAACGTTTATCAATTTTATAAAATATCTGTTTTGTCTGAAAAAATAAATTTTTTCAAATACAGAAGTATTTGATTTTACAATTAAATTCAAAAGCATATATGCTTTCAGTAGCAAAATGTTCAGTTTTTTGAATTTATGAAAATAAATAAATTGGATTAAATCAAAATAAATCATTAAAATGTTTAGCGTAAAAATTCTCAGGTGAAATATTTCATTGTTATTAAGAAAAGGTAAGAAAGGGAGTCGTTTTAAAATGATTAAATTACTCGAGAGTTTTTTTTTGCCTGGATGTTAAAAAAATGACAAGGAATTTAATTAATTTTAAATTTTACTTCATTCATTCAAACTTTTCTTCAAAAAAAATCTTAAGAAATTTCATCCAAAAAAATTTGAAAAACAAAAGATGTTGAACTTACCATATTTACTTCCGAAATTGCATCAATTGAATCAATGATAACATCTAACATTAGTAGTAAAGCATCACCTGAATGGAAAAGGTTTAATTAAAATTGTTTTAGGAAATTTTTTTTTTGTTGGTAAAATATTTTTTAAGAAAATTTTCTGTTCTAGTATAAAATGTAATGGATTTTTTATTCAGTAAAAATTTTTACATTTTAGCAGCCTTTTTTTGGTTATAACTAAATTCCAACCAAAATACTGACCTCCAAAACCAGGTCGTAATCTCATATCGTAATCACTTAACAGATCAGTTAACAAAGCAGAAGCATTCTCGTAGTACGTTGACGTACGTGCCAAACTAATATTACTTGTAGTAACATGTTGATTATTACTATGGAAATTCAGCAGTTGACCTTTACTGGAATTATTAATACATTGAAACAAATTTAGATAATTTTAAAAAAAATAAATTATTGATTAGTTTAAACTTTCAAAAAATAACAAATTTAATCTTAAAAAGTATAAATTTGAATATTCTAAACAGTTACTCATTAAGCTTTTTAAAAGTTTGAAAAATAATGACTGATTGTTTTTAAAGAAAATTTTGTCACTTTTTGACCGCAATCTTTGTTATCAAAATTTTTAAATCCATTGATTATACACATTACATAGCAGCATAATTTATGATTAAAAATCCTTACCGCTTGAATTATTCTCAGAACGATTTTATATAGAAAAATGAAATATTCTTAGGGTGATTTTATACTAAAAAAAATTTTTTTTAGTTTCAAGCAATACACATTTATGCTTTTAAAACAAAAATTTACAATAAGAAACTGACCTAATAATGAAAAAAACATTTGAGATAATGAAAATAACAAGCAAATAAATTCGCATTTGTTGCAATAGCATTGTATTATCCATATGAAAAACGGCTAGCATACTTTTATCAAATATCTAAAAAAATGAAATTTTAATGTTTAGTTGCTTTTTTCTCACATAATTTCAATTCCATTCATCAGTTAAATACTTATAGGGGAAACGGTAATTTTAGATCAGTATTTTAAAATTGAATTTCTCTCATTTGAAAAAAAAGAGAAAAGTTTCTCTAAAAATTAGCAATGTATCCATCTGCTGATAGATATGGGGGAAATGTTGTCATGATTTGTTGTGTCCTGATTGATTTGTCATCCTGCTTAAAAAACTAAAATTGACCTCTTCCGTTTTGAATCAATTTTCTTACAATTGTCTATTCCTATTCATAGAAGCATAAATCAATTTTGCACAATTTTTTATCATATTTTTTTAGCAAAATTTTAATTTTCAGAATAAATTTTCGGATCTAAATATTACAATCGACATCAGCTTTTTTTTTTTAATTTTTAAATTTTAAGTGCAATAATTAAATGATAACTCATTGTTCGTCTTCCTATCATAATAATTTATTTTAATGATGTCAAAGTAAATTTACTCATACTAAAGTAATATGAGTCGTATTTAAAAAAACAGAAGTAGTAGAAATTTCTTTAATTAATTATTCTATATTGAACTGAAAGAGGGTTTTCGAAAATAAAATTTGAAAAGAATTTATTGATATTTCTGATTTTTGATTTGTAAAAATATTAAACACATCGATTACATAATTTCTGTGAAATTCCTTCAATTAAAAACGATTAAAATAAAACAAGCAGACGGAAATGACTCGACAATGAGAAATAACATTTAGCAATTTGCAACTTTCCTAACTGTGCCTCTCGCCTTTTGACCGTATCACACATTTACAGTTAAACAGCAACTGATATTATTTAAAAATTCATGTAAATTTTATTAAATAATACTGCTTCTGTTAGCAATATTTAATGTTATAAAAAAACGAGAAGAAAGTAAAAGCATTTCGAGTGAAAAAAAAAAGAAAGACGGTGCAAAAAATTTCACTCCGAAATTTTTATAATAAAATTTTAATTTGATATCGTTAAGAAAATACATTCATCCATATGGAAGACATCATCAAATCTTTTCAGTTGATAGATAATATTTCTTAAATTAATGAGTGCATTTTATGCTTCATTGCAACCATTAAACTCATATTAAATGGATTACTGAAATTAAACAAATAAACAATATAATAAAAGGCATTAAATTCACATAAAGTTAAAGGAGAAAAAAATGAATGAACAATTTTAATAAATGAATGACCAATTTAAAGAAATGAATAAACGATCTCGAAAAATAAGAAATAAATGAATAAAATTTTTTCTTTTCAAAAGATTATTATTCTTTTATCAAAGAGTTTTAGTAAGCAAAAAAAAACTTGAAAGCAAGCAAATAATCATTTTCATCCGCATTTGCATTATACTTCAATTCAATTGCGTTAGAAAATCCTTTTTTCCAATAAAGTGCTAAATAGGATTGTTTTCTTTTTTTAGGAAAAAAAATTTTCAGAAAAAGTAAAATTTATAACAATTAGTTCTTTAAGATGGAAAAGATAATTTCACACAGGAAAAATAGATGTGATAGCATTTTTTCAAATGAAAAAAATTTTGCTTTGAAATTTTTAATAAAATAAATTTTGTGTGTGCTGTAATTATTATTGAAAAAATAGTTGAATTTTAACTTCATTAATTGATTTATTAATACATTTAAATTTTGATTTAAGAACGGGTACAGGAATTCTTCAAATATTGTATAGTTAGCTAAATTTTATGGTTCTATTTTGAAATAAAAATTTCAGGCATTATTTATTATTGAATCATTTCATAGTTTTAGAATGTCATTTATGTTGTGAAGGATTATTATTCTAATGGATTTTGAAATTTAATATACCATTTCATTATTATTCTTTCAATTACCCTATTTTGATCGCTTCATGATGAGATAGATGGATTTGTTGATTTTGCAATATTTAGGCATTCTTTAGGAAATTTTTGGCACGAGAACTGACATGAATGAAAAAATGGTGAAATGGAATTTTTGAATTGTATATGTGATATATTTCCAATTTTACTTCAAAAAAAATTTCTATCATGCTCGTGCACTTTTTTCAATTAAGCTTAGATGTGGAGTTTGTTTCCGCATAATTTATTTTTGATTAATTTACTAAATTAATTAATTTTTTAAAATACATCATTGATCAATCTTTAATATAAATAATAATAAAGACGCAATTTACAAGAAGGTGAAAAATTTCTCAATAATTGGTAGCACAATATTTTGAATTAAAAAGTGAAGCTCAAAAGTGAAATTTCAATGAATAAACGCTATATTAGCATCTCTTTTAGTAATATTAATTTAATAAAATATTTGACAGATGAAAAAAATAAACATGTCCTCTTCCCTCCCCCCCTCCCCCCAAAAAAAAAACTCTCATTTTATAATACGAAGAGAAATAATTTTACAGAAAAGCAGAAATTAGGATGATGAAAAAAAAGAAAGAATTCGATCAATTTGAATAGGAGTAAAATTGTGAAGAGTAAAAAGTAAAAAAAATGATGAAAAACCAAATGCAATTATTCGATAATTATCCTCTAAAATAAAATCAAGAATGAAAAAAGTTGTTGATAGCAAACATTTTTAGGGTCGAAAGAAGTATGCTATTCTATTTAAGCAACAGTTGATCGATCTACAAAAGAGAAATGAGAGAGAGGAATTGAGAGAGAGTTGAGAATGAAAAGAGAGATGTAATAAGCAGTTGTGATAAATTAAATCATTCAAAGTTAGAAATGATTTTAGTCTGTGAATTAAAGTAAAAATCAACTTTTCATACTTTTTTCCCTCGTTATTCTTTCTTTTTTTTGTTTTCTTTCTTTTCCATTAAATTGTTTATTGTTTTCTTTTTATGAGTAAAATATATCACCAGCTTTTTTTAACTTATCATGATCGATGCATAAGTATGATGAAATAATTTTAAAAACATAATTTGAAATTTATTTCAGATCCAATGATTTGGTTATTAATCATTATTCTCTTCACTGCAATAGTTCAATGTTGCAGCTATAAGGGAAAAAATGAAGAGGAGAAATTATCATATAATACATCACTGATACATAATATCACACGAGTTCTCGATACCATTCTTCTCAATCAGAATCGTCATTTTCGACCTATCAACGGGGGTTTAGCCAAAAATATTTTCTTTCTTTTTTTCAAACATTACTTTAATTAATTAAACTTCATTTACGAAAATGTTAGTTAAGACAATATAAATATAGTCGATAATCAGTAAATTCATAGCATAAAATGGTAAAAATATTTTATTTAATTTTTGGAATTTTTTATTTAACTTTTGAAATTTTATTTAATTTTTTGAAAGTTATTGGAAATTCTTTAAAAAATTACAACTTATATTTTTTAATATTATTTTCAGATCCTAATGCTCCATTAAAAGTTGAAATTGACATTTCTGTACGCAGCATTGGACCAATATCGGAACAACAAATGGTAAATATCTATTATAAATATTACCGTAATTACTGGAAAATATTACTATCAAATAAAAAAATTGAATAATTTTTAGGAATTCTCATTGGATTGCTATTTTCGGCAAAAATGGTTAGATCGACGGTTAGCCTTCGATACGTTCGCAAATCGAGAAGATTTACCAATTGCTAGCAAAATGCTTAAAGATATATGGACACCGGATACGTATCATTTTTATTTGCTTGCATACATTAAAGAAATAAAATTTTAAATTTCATTTTTTCATTAGAAACTGAAAAAAAGAATTTGATAATTTGAAATTCAATTTTAATACAAATCAATAATAGAGGTCACAAGAATTATAACACTCAATATGCCTTTGCAGTTGAACCTAGTGGAGAATAATTTATTTCAATGACTTTTTTCATTTTTCTCTCATCTTTTCCTTTGAGTGACCAGAGGTCAGCGATAGCCTAAAAATCTTCATCCAAAGATTATCTAAACAGAATTTGTTCAATGAAATTTATAATGGAAAAATGTTCAATTTCCATAAAAATGGAAATTTAAACATTATCACGCATACATATTTAACATTCAGATACATTCGAAATGGACGACATTCATATTTGCATACTCTGACAGTACCCAATGTTCTTTTTCGAGTTCGTTATGATGGACAAATTCATGTATCACAACGGTTCAAATTTCTCTTCTTTTCCAATTTTTTCCTCATCAAATTATTTATTAATTTTTATTCAAATATAATCACTCATCTCCTCGTAATTCTAAAATATAGCAGAATAATATATTGCTAAAAATTTCTTAAAATCAGGTAGTCATTGTAACTGAAATTTATTTTTTAAAAAAAAATACTTGGTTGTCTTCATAGAAATGCGCAAACTAGAAACCGGAATATATCAAGTGAGCCATATAATCTACGATTTGTTTAATTTTACTAATTTATATCAAATTCATTCAATCTTAGTGCAATCTTATAGATTAACAATACGAAGCCGATGTGAAATGTTTTTCAAAAAATTCCCAATGGATCGTCAAGTTAGAAATTCTTAATTATTTTCAATTTTTCATTGAAGTTCAGAAAATTACATCAAGACATTTGTATGAAATGATTAAAGTTATGAAATTTAAGGCATGTCCAATTGAAATTGGTAGTTTGGGTTATTTCTCCAAAGATGTCGTTTACGTATGGAAAGATGTAGAATTGGATTCAAAAATGAACAATATGCTTGCACAGTATCGGCTACTTCACGTCATCAAAACGTCGTATAATTGGACTGATCCACGTGATGAAAAATTAAGCAAGTTGAAGTTTTAAATTCATTATGAACTTGAAATTAGTTATTGTAAATGAAATGAGTTAAGCATTATTCCATAAGATTCAATACTTCGATTTAATACTTGACGATGTAATTATAATGCAATAGTATGTATGAAAGTAATAAATTAATCGATTGTTAATTAATCAGCCAAAACGATTACAACAACTATTGAACAAATCTTTTCAATCATCATTTCATTTATTATTCGAATTTAAAATGATAAGTGGGAATGATTGAGAGGAACAATTTGTTATGATTGAAATATGAAAACAAGAAGTGTATTTTAAAAAAAAAAATCTTTCAAATTTCATTTTATTTCAAATTTAATATTATTCTATTTTAGATGTATCGGTGCTAAAAGTATATTTTAAACTTCAACGTCAACAAGGTTTCTACATACTGCAAATTTATACGCCATGTACGCTGATAGTTGCAGTATCTTGGGTCAGCTTCTGGATCAACAAAGAATCATCACCTGCTCGAGTTTCATTAGGTACACTTTCAAAAATAATTTCTTCTTTAATTCAAATATTGCTATGCTAATCGTTAAGTAAGTTTTGATAATTGATTGATTTACCTCTGACTAAATATGCTTTGAATTATTAATCAATTCTTTTGACTGATTAGACAATTTGAATCGGTTAATGTTATACTTTCGTATTGAAATTTTTGGCAAAACACCGGAAGGGAATAATTTCATACTGTATTTTATTTCAAAAATAAATGATATTTGTGAATTTTACATTTTAATTTATCATACATTTAATTATCATATTGTTGGATTTTTTTCTTTAAGGAATAATGACAGTACTTTCCGTGTCAACATTGGGTTTCAGTTATCGATCCGATTTGCCGAAAGTTTCGCATTCAACGGCTCTCGACATTTATATCATGTCGGTGCTTTTTTTTCATTTTTATGTTGCTCTATTAGTTGTGATGATTTTCTGCTTTTTAAAAGTTCTTGACAATTCATAGCTGTAAAATTTTGCAAGAAATTAAATAACATTACGATAAATATTAGATTACAAATTAGTTCAGATTATTTAGATTAATTTAAGTAGTTTTCAGTTCGTGTTTCGGATTTGTGTTCGCTGCAGTAATCGAATACGCCATCATCAATTATGTGAATAGAATCAATATGCGAAACAAAGTAACTTTTTTCGCAAATTTCGGGAATAAATTTGCTGATTGCAATCTTCTAAAAGAATTCTTTTTTTTTTCATTTGGAATGATGAGAAAAATAAATAAAAATTCCCACATCACTCTCCTTTGAAATTTGATAAACTGAGAGATGAAAAATTAAAATTGAAAATTCTCGAGAGATAGGAAACTTCGAAATTACAAGTTCGTAATTTTTAAAAATTGGAAACAACCGATATGGTGAGTTCTTTTATGATCTGACATTCTGAACTGATTTGAAATCAAATTATTAATCGGTTTGTGAGAGGTCCAGTTTCTTATTTTCATCTTTTTGCTGTTTAATTATCAAAAAAAAGCCATCTGCTAGGTATCAAAAATGCGCATGTTATCGACGCCACTAATGCTCTCGAGACCAGATGTTAATATTCACAACCAAACAATGGCTCCAGATTCAAAACCTCAACCAGATCCACATTTATTTATACCAAAGCAGGAGTGTTCAGGTCTTGAGCCCATTCCATTGTTCCTATCACGCTTACTTATCTATTTATTAGCAATATCAGACTAATCCAAACTTTCACCCAGGAAACAAAATTTCTGACTGGAGAGTTCAGATTAGTGACAAATCATAAATCGGTAAATCGAAACAAAAGAAAATTCAAATTTCAGTGTTCCGTCGAATTGCCGCAAAAGCAAGTGAAAAAATGAAAATCAAGAATCCAACGAATGTAGTCAGTCGAATAGATTCCGCTTCCAAAATAGCCTTTCCATCGCTTTATATTTTATTCAATGTTATCTATTGGCTAGCTTTCCTTTACTGGATTCCCGATGAAATAAGCAGTCTTATTTAGTCAGCATTTATTATGGCATCTGTCAAATCTTTTTGTTGTGATCTAACATTACTCACAGAATGTACTGATATACAGAGGATTTCGCAAGAGAATATATTTTAAAAATATTTCAATTTCATCATGCTTACACAGTGAAACCAGTAACAACAGAAAAGAAAGTATAAAAGTAAATCGATAAGCAACCTATGTGAAACGTCGCCTTTTCCGACCTGTATATTTCGAAGACATGCAAACTTCTCTGAAATACAAGATCCGTGAACATTATTTTCAAATTTAAATGATTTGCAATAACTAGGAAGAAAACACAGAATTATAGACCTTAATTGCAAGACTTAAATAATAGGAAACATACTTTCCGTGCTTTCGGGCACGATCCTTTTTAGCTTCTACCCATTCTCTAGAACGTTTCAGCAATTTTCGCTTGCCGTGCTTATCATTTTTCCTTGTTCTTAAATAAAAAAGATGTAGCAACATTTTTCTTTCGGCCTTCAAATCTTATACAGCAGCAGCAAATTTCGGAAAAGTTTCCAAATTACCTCCTTTCTATATTCGAAACTTGATCCACTTCTTCTTCTTCAATTAATGCTTTTGGCAGCTCTTGCATACCACCAACTATCAACACCAAATAAATTCTTCAAAAAAAAAAGAAATTATTGAAGATATTAAGAACTGGCAAAAAGAATTGCTTGAGTACTTCGAACACTTTTTAATAACAAGTAAAAATAAAGGAGAAAATTCAGCACAACAGTACTTTTTGGCTTTAGCACTGTTAGGAAAATCAATGACAATGCCTCCAGTAAAGCCTGCTTTTCTTGCCTGTGTTGTTATAAGATCAGTTTGGCTAGCATTTTCTGGATAAAACTGGAATATGGCGCGAGTACCGCGACCCTGAAATGTTTTTTATCTTCAAATATTATTTAATCTATGAATAATGCAGTGATCGCTTTAGGCAAATAAAAAGAGGGATATAAATGGTAAGAAATTGATTCCATTAAATCTTTACCATGCAAGCATATAATGATTGGAAAAACTGAAGTAGCCGTTTTTGTGGGCTTTGTTCTCGGGTGTTTGCATGGCAAAGCCACTGAATTGCAGATATACTGAAAAAATTAATTAAGAGTTTCAAGTATAAAACTCATTAAGTTTTGCAATGAATTAATTTTAGCAAAATGTTATCGAAATGTTTAATCATTATATACCTTATTGCGCCGTCAAATGTACCCGGCCGAAAAGGCAAACCATCACCCATATCTTTCAATACAACATCACCTTTGACTTCTCGACCATTTATGGCAACCTCTAAAATTATATGAAAGCTGTACGTTATGATGCCAAAACAAAGTTTAAATACAAAGGAACAATGTTTATAGTTTATGTTAATAAACGAAGCCGAAAGTCTTTGATATTCGTTATCATTAGCAAAATATCTTAGGCTAATCTTACAAAAAGTCCAGGAATGCTAACTGCCTTAATTAATGCTTCTTACCAATTATAGCTTGATAATTAACATCGAAGTTCCGAGTCATCTGAACCTAGAATCACACAAGACTTTCGTTTAAGCAGTTTCGCTCATCAGGTATCAAAACGGTTAGCTTGCCAGTCCCAATCCTGCATCTCAGCATCTGAGTTCCTTATTTTCTTTTACAAGATTTTGCAAGATACTTCATATAAAATAAGTGCAGAACCCACTTAGCATCGCTTCGCTAATATCTACGCCAATCCAATTATGACCCATTTCTGTGATAACTTCTCCACTCAGTCCGGAACCACATCCAATATCCAGTAATAACCTTGACACGTCATCATCCGGAAGAGCAAGCAATTCGATAGCTCGTTCCGTCATGCATGTTTGAATCTCGATAATATGTGAACTGAAAACCTTCGATAAATATGATTAATAAAAAAGCACAGAAACACAGGTGCGTAATTAAACAATGCACATAAAACTTTCAGCCAGAAGTGAATAATAAAACTTACTTCTGTGAGTACTTGGCAGCTTGAATATCATTGTAGTACTGAAAAAGAAAAGTAACATGAATATTACACCTTAACTTTTTAAATGATTAATTTCTTTCGAAAAATCTCTTGAATTTTGAAAACAAACTTGTCTTTCTCTACATTTATGCATGGTTGTATCTCCATTACAAAAATCGGAAACGAACCCATTATGATGGACCGCTCGTAAAAAATTTTTTTACCCAAGATTTCAACCAAAACAAACCAATTCTGGAGGACCAGTAAATTCTGGACGAGACATTGTGTACGGCGTATATTTCTTTCTTCTTAAATCCTAACAGCTACGTCTTGTCATACGTCTGTTCAATGTACCAGTAAATAACAAAGAAAGTGATGATACATAGATCCGAATGTCAATCTCGAAAGTTTTCCGGTCAACCTGAACAATTCTTGAATTACATGATGTTCGTCTCTTCACCAAGCAAAAAACCACCCGAGAAAGAAGAAGACTTAATGGCTATCATCTAACTGATCGAGATCTGCGCAGTGCAATGGATTCAATTCGTTTCATAATTAGTAACTCTTTTTAACGTGTCGACCCTTTAGGGGCGGATTGACCAAGTAGTGACCCAATATTGCTGCGATCTTCTTTCATTGTATCAGTAGTGTAAGGTACGGAGCGGCGGTGAGGTGGAGGAGCTCCTGAGGTCAGGTTTTGTAGGTCTGGATGAGTTATTTGGGAGGAGCTTCTGAGGTCAAATTTTGTAGGTCTTGTTGAGTGCTTTGGGAGGAGGGTTCCGAGGTCGAGTTTTGTAAATGTAGATGAACTGTGTAACTTACATGGAAAAACAATACTATATGGGAAATATCATTCAAGTTGCATCTCAGTAATTCCTACAAGAAAATTCATCGTTATTATTTCAGTGCATTTATCATATTGCATTCCAATATAATTGAACGATTATCAATCAGTAAGGAAGAAAGCGATCATTGTAAAAGCGATGTCCGATTGGGACAATTTGGATAAATTAGTCGAAGCGAATTGTATTCCAATCAAAAAAATTGCTGCTTCAAAAGTAGCAAGCAGTCTTGAGGAGCAAAATATCCTTTTTGCAAAAGAGAATAATAACAGTGATGTGAGTTCTTTGATTCTGATAACGATTATAATTATAATTACATCATGGTCAAATATTTTAATGCTATCTCTTTAGTTTTGTTTCAGCTTGATTTTTTTTTCACCACTTATTTTTAGATTGAAGATGGAATGTCTACATCAGTTTCGAGCAAAAATGATGTCGGATCGGAGAATGAGGATGAGGAAGCTGGCGACATTATCATTACCAATGATTTCACAATAGGTGATGTGGACGTAGTTGAAGTAAGTTGCATTGAAAATTCATCCATTGATTACATTTCTGCAATTTCTATAATCCATTCTTCTGAAATCTACAGATGGATGCGTCTTGTAGCAATACGCTGAGTATACTTATTTGCTTTCTCATAAAAAGGATTTAATAATAGTTTACTTTGCAGATCTTAAATCGTTTCAATTCGAAATATGATAATATAATTTCCGAATTTGCGGATGTAGAAATATTTTTAATATCGATGGATGGATTATTAATCGAACTTACAGCACACACATATTTAAATTGGACTCTAGGTGGCCAGACTATCGTTATTGCAAAACAAGTAAAACTTCATAAAATTGTATATTGCTTTGTGTAGTAATCCGGATCGAATTAAGCTAATTATTAGTAGCAGCATGATATAATATTATATCAAAGTTGATCATGTTGCTATTTGATATGGTATAAGTTTTTTCACGCTATACAGCCACCATTCTACGGGATCATCGCCTGTAACAATAACATCTAAACTCTTTTGATTCAGGTGTGACATTTTTTTTCAGATTGAAATTCTGTTGAAACAGCTTTTAAATCTTGGCGGCAAGTTTAAATTAATTTGGTTTACGGATTTGTCTGCTATCTATGCCAAAGATACAGTGCTCAACTTTTTGCGTAGTTTCGTTGCAGCTTACTTGCTTCAGTCTCAGTGGGCAGTGGATATTGAGCATTTTGTCAATCCTAGCGATTCGCTTTGGTTATCTTACTTACATGAACTGATGCCTTCATTTTTGGTATGCAATAGAATTTGAAAGACAAGCTTGATTATAAAACAGTAATAAATATTTATGTTTAACATAGAGTAGGTAAACTGAAGTGGTTTGACAGCTTACTTCTTGAACATATAAACATATAAAGGATTGATGTGTGAAATTTAATAATGACTTCTCACTCTTCATCTTACTGCTTATTGCGTTTGAAAATACAAATATTCTTATTTTTGATATATCAATGTATCACCAAACTTTTTGATAGAAAATTGTGTACCTTTTTCAGATGATTGGCGTCGATGATGTATCAGAAAATGTGGTAGCAGATACTGGGCTGGGTTTCAAGCAACTTCTTGCTTCAATAGCGCTTCAGGCACTTGCTTCGACCATTCCTGTCGTGTATTTCAGTGGTCTTGTCGTGAATCTTTGCTCGGTTTACAGCCATCGTGTTGAGCCACACATAGTCGATTTCAAAGGATGGACCAATTATTTATGTCAATTGTGGACCGAAAAAAAAAGTGGTTCGAGAAAATAATTAATGCTTGAATTGTTGATTTTCTTTGCAATCAATTCCTCAGCAAAATAGAATAATGGAATCGAATTGTGAAACTATCAGTGATATTAAATTTAATAATCACAGAATTTATTTTGTATTTTAATTCTTCATTATATTTATGAAAATGCTTCCAGAAGTTCACCGAAATATTAACCTATCAAGTTGCAAAAGTGTTTCACATTTATGGGCTCAAATCATTGGAGATTGTAAGAAAAGGTTATTATTACTTTGTTTTATGGTATCACGTAATTTATCCTTAAATTATTTCCAAAAAAATGCTTTATTGAGTTCTAGTGGTTCTAATTTTCATTGCAGTAAGTTTTAGCTTTTTCGTCTCACTCATGAATACAGATAAGATAACTAATTCTCTATTGCTTTGGAACTTATATCACAATATATTTAAAATATCCTTTAAAACTTAATCACAGAAATTGTGTTATAACAAATGATATCACTGACTGCAATGAAAATCGGATTTTTTTTTTATAGTGGTACATTACCGAAAGAATCTGATGCGCTGACGTCTGCTGTACTTATTTCTTCACTGATTTGCGAACGTCGTGGAACAGAACGTCGCTATTTTGAGGAAAATAAAGCTTCGAAAAGAGGCATCGATTTTATCAAATTCCGAAGAACACTGCTCAATTTCTGTGCGTCTTTATTGGATACGCTTGATTTAAAAGTATGATTTGAATTATGCTTTTTTGTAGATTTTGCATTAGAGCAGAAAGTAGCACAATGCTTATGTTAACAGAAGTTGAAGCAGAATCAAGTTTAGTGCTCTTTTAGATTCATTCTCGTATTCGTTTAATTTTATTATCTGACGCAACAAGATGTCAAATTTATTGTACAAATTTTACAGCAACATGCGTTATCCTTCTCATTGGTCGATCTTTGGGATGGTCTTTTGATAACGGGAATATACGATGCTATAAACTCAGGCGTAAAAGTAAGTTTGTTTTGTTCGGTTTTTGTTTTGTTGTTATCCAAATACATATGCAATCGTTCTTTTACTTATATGAAGTTGAATATCAACTATGTCCTGAAGGGGGTCCAATGTAAAAAATCATTTATTACTAAGTCCACTTGTTGATTATCTAATTGCAAACTATCTTTTGATAAGACTCAATTCCTGCAAAATTTTAAAACGTTCTTTTTTATTTGCTTTTACTTGCATATTTTTTTGCAGGTTCTTCCGTATCGTCTTCAACAAGAATTAGCTCCTCTACATAAAATCGCATGTCTGGAGCTGTCTCTTGAAGTCGACGTAAACGATGCTTTATTTGATTTGGCTGTAAAAGAAATAGATTTTAAGAAGCCCTCACTTCTTCCTATCAATTCTGAATTGTTGAATCGATACGCTCCAGAAATGCTGGGCGCTATTGTGGATGATTGCACGGAAACGGTAGAAATAATTTTTCAAGTTAAAAAAGATATTTTTCCTACTAAAATTATGTCTCAGTGTTCGACTTGATTTGTTTGACTTCAAGGTTTGTATTGGACATTCTTTTACAATTCTACTTAATTAATCTTTGTTGGAGGAACCATCTACTTTCAATGAGTTCTGGCTGCGTACTAAGTGGCGTCTCGATGTTATTGAAGAGCCTTACACTAAGCCAGAAGAACGAATTGACAGTGCATATCAGATGAAAAGGCACAACAAAGACAAACAAAAACTTGGCAAATGGTCAGATTATTACATCTCTTAAAAATTGCTATTTGCTTATTTATTTGAACTTTATTAACTATTTACTGGATTTTGATCTGCAACTGTCTGCAGGTACGAATTCTTCGCAGAATCGCTCGAAGGACGTGGAACCAGTTTGCTAGTAGATTTTTCACGTACACCACGTGGATTTGTTTCAAAAATTGATGAACAAACTGATAAAAAGAAAGAGAAACAACAATGGCAACCGAAAGGCAAAGGAAATGGTATAGAAATATTCTTTTTAGCTTTTCATGTTTCATTATTCATTCAACTGCTATGACTCAAAATTTATAGTCAAAATGCTTACTCTTTCCATGTTTGCTACAAATTTTGTTTTTCTCTCAGATCTTGTTTTTAAAAAATGAGTTTTATGGTGTCTTCATTTCGTTTCACGCTGTTTAACTGTTGTAATTGTAACACTTTGCCTATTTGCTTGTGATAAATGCACTTCCATTGTCTAGGATTTTGGATTTTGGGATTTTTCAACATCACGTATTCGAATAGATTTATAGGGAAGATATGTGCAAAAACTTAGACAAATATCAGACAAATAGTTAGGTTGACTGGTTATATATTGTCATTTTCATAAAGCTTTTTCAGGACCAAAAGGCAAAGGAGCTGTTAAATCAAAGAAAGAATTAATTTTGGAAGCTAATCGAAATAAAAAGAATGAAAAACTTGCGGAAGATGAAAAACAAATGGTTCGATTTGCAATGCAACAAGGAAAGAATGTAAGTTTAGTAGTAGGTGGAAATGATGGCTGCAGCACTGAAGAACTCGCATATACAGAGTGGGCAAATTGATTGATAAAGAATACTGTTCTAATTCGATTTAAAATCTGAATATTTTTACATTCGAATGCCAAGATTTAGCATATGTAAATTATGCAGGCACAGACGCAAGACAATGCAAATAAATATCACTCTATTTGTAATAGATAGAAACGAAGATTGTATAATTAAGTTTCTTTTATTCGTAGATAGGAACTGTATTATAGTCAAGTTTCTTAATTGTGACGAAATTAGCGTGCAGTTTCTGCACCATTTCAATTAGCAGAATCTAGATTGATTTGCAAAGAAATTTGGTCTTTTTAGGCAATGTTTATTTTGGAAAATTTGATGAACAAGCTCGAACTGGCCTCATCTAGAGCCATGTGTGTTTACCAGCAAGTACTACGTATGTCAGATGATCTCAATTCCTTGGAGGGACGAGATTTTGTGGAGAAGAGAAGGATTCGGGCGGTTCCTATAATCAGTAAATTGAAGGATCTGTTTACAGTGTACTGGCAGCATTTAGATGACAAACAGAAAGATTATGTATGTGTTTTTTTCTCGACTGTTTGACTTTAGCCAAGTACGATAATATTGTAACTATAGCTTTTCTCGACTTTTTTCTCTCAAGCATGTTATGTGTTAATTTTATCATCAGTAACCAAGAAACAGTTGATTAATTATTCTTGATCATGGCCAGAGATAGTAAGCCGCCTGCTTTTCTTTCTTTTCTTTTTAATTTTACAAGACCTTTGGGACATATATTATGTCGCTTGACATTAAAGTTTCTTGTCATTATTTTATTGCTGTGATAAAAATTAAAATCAAATTTTTATATTTTTCAAATCAATTTATGGATGTTGTTTTAACCGTTTTTCATTCAATAATCATCTTCGTTACTAGCAATGGCAATATTTATATTACTTTTAGACCACCGATTTATGGATCTCCCTGGGTTTTGAAAAAAGCAAGAAGCCAACTGCTTTTTCTGAAGGCAAATTAACATTGAAAATGAATATGATTTATTATCAATTGGCTTATGGTGGTGAAATTATTGATATTCGATCAGATCCACAGAAAGATGATCGCGTAACTGGTTTCCAACCGGATGCATGGCAAAGACGGATGTTGGACGCTGTGGATAAAAGCAAGTTCTATTTCTAAGCCTTTTTATATAATTGTAGACTGAAATTTATAGTAATAATGGGAATTTAAGGATAAATTAGAAATTGCTTGATTTAACATTTCTACATTTTAGCCAAAATGTTATGAGATGTTTCATGTTGACAGTTATGTAATTCACATAACTTTATGTGAGCTAATATAAACTAGGAATAACAAATTCGCTCTCAGAGTGAAAATGAGGTTCGCATTGTAATTTTGAACATTTCAGATCATTCGGCTGTTATAATTGCTCCAACTTCTGCAGGTAAAACTTTTATATCGTATTACTGTATAGAACGTGTATTACGACAAAGTGATGATGACATGGTTGTCTATGTTTCGCCTTCTAAGGCACTTCTCAATCAGGTACTTATCTTAAACTTCAATTGAATTATAACTCATTGCCTGCATATATTTATTAAGAATTGTTATGCATTTCTTTGCAATTTTATTTTGTCCATAAATAATTATAGGTTTGTGGTTCAGTGTACGCTCGTTTCCGTAATAAAACTTTAAGTGGTGGAAAGTCACTTTTTGGCACGCTTCTATTGGAATATTCCGACAATCCAATGAACTGTCAGGTTATCATGTTGATTTCATTATTTTCAAAGACATAAAAACAGGTCAATAATTATTGACCTGTTATGTCCATCCAAAAAATAATGGTCCATTCCGTTTTGCGGATTTTTTACGTAGAGTTGCAAAATGAAACATAGACATCTGTTAAATTTAAATTCTTGATTTCGATTTAATTGCTATCACTTATTTCCATCTGTATTATCAAGTTGAATCTGTAAATCTACTTAATCTAGTTATGATCAATTTCAGGTGCTCATCACTATCCCGGAGTGTCTTGAAAATTTGCTTTTGTCAGCGAATCCACTAGTACAGATATTGATCGACAAAATTAAATACGTCATATTTGATGAAGTAAATGATTTTTTAGCTTTTGCATAAGAACTTCCCATTGTTGCGATCAAAAAATTATTTGAATTTTCTAAATCTTTTTAAAAATTACTTTCTATATCAAAGCGATGGAAATGGAAAAGGACGATAAAAGAATGAAAGGTAAGTGATAGCGTGATGACAAGGTTAAATTACTTTTGATGATTTTCCAGGTTCACTGCATTAGTGCTTCTGCAGATGCTCACATTTGGGAACATCTTTTGCTTCTTATTAGATGTCCCTTCCTTGCCCTCTCAGCTACCATCGGTAACGCAACAGTTCTTCATCAGTGGTTGCAGTCCGCCGAGAAAAGTAAGAATATACGAGGAACACCTTTAAGAGAGGTCTGCTTTTTGTTATGATTTGTAAAAATTTTTTCATTGTTATATTTCCTTTAAGTGTTTCAGATGTCGAAACTTCGAGTTTCTGTTACTATCAACGCTGAAGTTCTATTTGTTTCGATTTCTTCGCAGTTTCCATGCTTGTGCATCATGATTTCACGATTGTTCTTGTGATTTCAGGTTGAACTGATAACATATGGTGAAAGATATTCGGAATTGGAACTTGCTGTGCAGCGGATTAGTCCGATAACTGATGTAACAAGTCAAAACGGAAACGCTGTGAACTCAATGATTGAACATTTTATGCCGTATGGTGTATATAAACCGGTAAAATTGTCTATGTTTGGCATTCCTGGTGATCAGCAGTTAACTGCGAGGCAAATCCTTGATTTATATCATGCTCTTGCCGAAGTGGATCCAGTAGTCAAGTAAGTTTCTGCTCATTTTCTCTTTTTCACAGTTCCACAGTCTACATTTCATACTAATTCTAGTCTTTATAAAATCTTTGTTTTTCACAATTAAATCCGATTCTTTGTTAGGGAAGAATTTGAACCGTGTTCATTTTTCAACTACAAAGCTGAAGGCGAAAAGGTTTGGCTTACACGTGAAGATATCAGACGTCTGGAGGTTGCTTTGAAAAATCGTTTTTTGGAATGGCTTGAAATGAATCCAGAAAGAGCTAATAAAGTTTTGCATGAAATTGGTAAAAATGTACAAAATGAATTAGACTTCAGAAGTAGACCATTTGATCAGGTTTGTGTTGAAAATTCCTGTGTATATTTGGTTTGGCAATTTGATATCCTATTTCGTAGTATGTATTCTTTCGAGAAATGTATGCTGTGTGTTGACATAGCTACCAAGGAATACGCTGTAAGAAAAAATCTAACCACTATGATAATTGCAGACAGAAGACATGTATAGCCGTACACTTGGAGATTCATGTCTTTCATTTCATATTGAATTTGAATAGATCCAATTTGAAATTTAGTGTTCACATTTTTTTTCTTTTCCTATTACTGTTCTAGCGAGCAACAGCGATGAAAAACATTGCCCCTCTGATTCTGGAGTTACGTGATAGGGAATTACTTCCGGCAATTTGTTTTAATGAAGATCGTCGGATATGTGAGAGACTGGCTCAGCAGCTATTTGATTATCTTGAAATGCAGCAGAAGGAGTTTGAAGCCAGTGCGGAATACAAAAAATATGAAATAAAAGATGAAGAGGTAAGTCAGGTTTTTAAAAAATTTGAATTAGTGTTAACCTTTTACTGAAACCTGCGTAGAATATCGAAATGTTTTGTAGAATTACTATGCACATGAGATGATTAGTCTGTCACAATGAAATCAACAGCTTGTTTGTATTTTTAAATTGTGGATGCAAGAAGAATTTGAAAACGTCTGAATTTCAGAAAATAGCGAAAATGATGAAAAGGAAGCGAGATGCTGCAGTAATAAAGGAGAAAAAAAAATTGAAAGCTGCAGATAAGTTTGAGAGAGCTGAAGTGGAAGAGCAAGAACACAAGGTACAGGATGTTGATGATTACGATCCGCTTGCGGCAATGAGATTACGTTTGAATATGGTTTTAGAAAAGTAATTTTTCCATTTCAATTTCTCTATTTCATCTTCAGCATTGTATAGCTAATAATGCTTATTACCGACGAACCGTTTGACAGGAATAATGTAATGCTTACGCGTGCGCAAGTACAAATATAGTGATTGACAATGCTCGGTGAGATAATGGTTTAGAAAACATTAAAAAAAGACAGTCTGTATTCAAGATTAGCTAAAATAAAAAAATCAAAAAATGTCTTAATTCAAATGGAACGATTTAAAATCGGTTTTAACGGTATTTTTCAGAAAGTCATCCGATGATTTTAAAAGCTATGATCATTAATGATATTAGTGTTTTTGGAAGTATTAGCATTATTTCAAAATTTAGGAAATTTATTTTGTTTTCAGATTTAAATTACATGGACGGCAGCGTGATGCAGATTTGTTCCAAAAAGTGACTGCAAGGTTGGCAAAAGATCGATTGTCGAGAGAAACAACAAAATTACTGTTCAAACTTTTTGAACGCGGTATTGGCTTCCATCATCCCGGTTTGAACTCTAAGGAACGCGGTGCTGTCGAAATCTTATTCAGGTTATTTTTTGATAACCTAATCAGCAGATTAATTAATTAAATAGTTTAAGGAGTTGATTATTCTTGATTTGAAATTCGTTGACTGGTTGGTTTTGTCTCCATAAGAACTAAATTTTTTCTATTCGAGCTGCAGGAAGAACGCAAATAAAAATTACTTCCGAAATTAAAGTTCTTAATGCATTTATCCTTGTAGATCTGGTTATTTGGCAGTTTTATTTTCGACTTCAACGCTAGCTCTTGGTATTAACATGCCATGTAAGACAGTTCTGTTTGGAGTTGATGATGCAAATCTGACACCTTTACAATTCCGGCAAATGTCTGGCCGTGCAGGCCGTCGTGGTTTTGATCATTCAGGCTCAGTCATTTTCATGTCTATACCAACTGCCAAGGTTGTTTTACTTTTGCTAATAAAAATAAATATATGACGAATCATATAAAAATAAAAAGTGCATCAAGGTTTTACTGCATGAATTAGAAAAAAGACAAAGAAAATATGATTTTATAAATTGTGTATTTTAGATACGCCGCTTATTAACAGCGAGTCTATCGACTTTGCGTGGAAATTTGCCGTTTACTACATCGTATATTCTACGTCTTTTTGGCTACATACACCAAGAAGACAGCGTGATGAGTAAGTCTGATGTTTGATAATAACTTTGAATGCTTTGATATTTATATTCTGCCATTAAAATGCTTAGAACATTTAACGTTTATTCACTATAGTCTCAATTTGTTTTGATATTTCGAATAATCGAAATATGTCATGCAAAATGATCTTTTTTAATTTACAGCGTTAGCTTATATGTTAAATCCCCAACAAAAATGTTCAATATCCAATGAAACATCCATAATCTCTTAAAATCTACTTCATTTTATTTAAGAGTTTGTCTTATAAAGTACAAAAGAAGTAATTGGACATCCTGCCAAGTTTTTGCTAGATTGTGTATAAACTTTTTCTATGTTTTTCAGGTGAACTTCGTTCTGGAAATCCAAAGCTTTCACCGTTTGAGCTACGATTACGAGTAAGCTTATCAACTTTATGTTATTGTCTTTCACTCTTTCCATAATCAAAAGCATATTGATGGTTTGACAATCTTCTAGTGAAGAATGATATAGTTTGAAGCGTTATGCATTGTTTTGATTGCTGAGTTTGCGAAGATTCGGGGAAATTCTTTTATTTCCATTTCAAAGCTAACTAAAAAATAGACAAAAGAATGGCATGTTTTGTATCTAGACTATTGCAATTGTCTTTTTAGACTGCCTTGTCGTTCTTGACAAATTCCTTTATTCTTCATACACGCGCCGAATTGTCATCAACAGTGCAGAAGCAGCTTAAACTGTACACACTTTTTGCTGTTCAGGTGTTGCGTTCCCTGAATTTATTGAATCAGAAGGTTGTTTTTCGTGTTCTTTTTACTTGTTCTTGTTCTTTTTTTTTTGTTTCTTCTCCCTCAAAATCTTATACAAAGTTTCATCAGGATTGTGTTAAACTGAATAACAAGACAAGTTTAAAATGTCGTACAAATTTGGAATTATCCAAGTTTAAAGTGGCTATAAATTGCAGTCTCATCTCATAACCAAAGTTATCGCATTATGTTGAGTCTAGCTTCTGTGGTATTCAGACACAGTGTTTTAACATTTAGATGTTCATTCAGGGTGAATTGAGCGGTCTAGCTTCTGTGGTATGTCATTTATCAGCCAACGAACCGGGTAATCTTCTTTTCGCACATCTTCTACAGAATGGTGTATTCCATAAGTTGTGCGGAAGTAAAACGATATCGAGGGAGGAAATGAAAAGTCAGTTGGTGCTTATTTTTGCACATTTATTCACCAGTTTGCGTTTGCCACTTAGTTGGAACCCGAATGACAAGAATTCTTATCCGTCAACAGGTGAATCAGAGGTTCGTTCATACTTTATAATTTTTTAAATATATTTGCTAAAAAATATAGAAGAAATTATTTGCTGACTCTTCAAGTTGGGAGCCTGAGTCAGTTATATCATAAATTCTCTAAGATATTAGGGAATTTATGAGATATAATTGACTAGCATAAGAGCATGATCTGACTGTGCTAGGTGTTTGATTACCTAATAATTTTCATTGAATACAATAAGCACTGGAAGACATTAGTAGTGAAAATTAAATACTGAATTATCTGAAGTTCCTAATTCTTTTTTAATTTAAAGGGTTTACTTGAAATTTTGCAGATTTTCTTGAAGCCTTTGCCTGACAGTTGCGCTTTGTTAGTTGAACAGTACGCTAACAAGGTGGAAAATTTATATCGAGAATTTATGCGATTGGCTACTCCTAGCAAAAAGCTTCAGGTAATCATTTAAAATTGTTTAAGATTGTAATGGCTGTAAGCTGTGTAGATTATTGGAGAAACTGTATTACATATTGATGCTGCGAGATTGCAGTTATTTTAAAAATGACGGTTCATTAAATTCCGCGGTTGGAAATTCGATTAATTAAGCTTTTTTTATTTGAATTTTGAGTTCAAGATTGCTAATTGAAGAAATGCTGAAGAATTAAGCAGTTAAGATCAGAGCCCTAGTTACATTTTAGTACATTTTGCTATGCGTAGCAGGTGTTAACAAGTTGTTTACTGCTTAAATTAGTTACATCGTCGCTAATAAACGGAAATAAATAACTATGAAGTGCGCATGGATTGTTCTTATTTACAATGTACAATATTTGCACTACAATAACCAAATTTTTAGTGTAGTTTTTTCTCAGTTTTTTAATACGGCTAGCCTTATTCCTGTTTTATTGAATACTCCCCAAGATAATTTCATTTTAGGACTTTCTGTTGTTTAAAAAATTGTCCCAGTTTTCTTTTTTTGCAATTTTGCATAATTTTATAAATTGAATCGATTTAGGGTGAGGTATTCTCCCTAACAGGTTACTCGGATTCATCAGTTTCAATGTTTTCATCAAATATTGTTCATCCATTCCATGATTATTTGCTCTATGATGAAGCATTTATGCCAGCTCGCCTACTAAATCCAGTTGATCATCGTGGTCGAAAAGTAAGTGACTTTTTTAACTTTATTTATGAAGATTTTATTGTTTGATGAATCAAAGAATGAATGTTACTAACGAACTATTGAGCAATGCTTGAACAAGCTTGTATTGAATAGCTGTTGAACAAACCATACTTATCCATCCTTCTCAGCAATTGAATTTCTTTTTGTGCGAACTTGATTGAAAAACGAATGGTTCGTTTGATTTTGATTTATTTGAATTAAACTGCATTTTAAAATTATTCGTGTTTAGTCTTTTTTTTTCTCTATCTCTACAAAAGGCCCGACTTGAACATTTAGTCAGTTTTAAAAAAGTTTATGTTTCAGGTACATCTAAATGCGTATGCAGTTGATTTTTGGCGTCTAGAATCAAAGAAAGCGTTGGAACGAGATAATGGAATTAGTGAAAATAGAGTTTGGGGTTTAATTCACAGTTTTTCAGTATGTTATTTTGAATATTGTTTCATTTTTTATAAGAATTATGCAGAACAGAATTCCAGTTATTATTTCCGTATCAACTAAGGTTAATTGAGTTATTCTGAATGAAATACAAAAGTTCATAATTTATTACTAGAATCCTTTAGTCTTGATAGCTTTTCCAATTTTTATGTATGTTTATAACTATTGAAATTAGTGAGCAACTTATTCAAGTTTTTTTTTTCAGTCTACTCTTCTTAAAATCAAAGATGCACTGCTCGCTGTTGGCCGTTCCAAAGATTTATTTGTAGAAGTGATGAGCGAATTGGCCGATGAATACTATAAAAAATTCTGTGTTGCCTTTTCGATGAAACGGAAAATTCGTGTCACCTATGAAATTGCGGATTGATTTAAAATTTTGTTAAACTCATGTATCTTTATGTTTTTTCTCCTTGTCATTTTTAGGAAATGATAAATACTGGTACTTTCACATTTTCTCTCTTATATATGTTTCGAATTCTTGTTCAAAAAATTTGTTTTCTCTCTTATACACATAGGGGTATTGAAGGAGAAAGGCAAAGCAAGCAGTTGAATTGTCTAATTTGTTCAAATTTTAGTGATTTTTGTCTTGTCTCATATGCTACGGCTTTCTTTCTCCTTTTAAATTCTTTTCATAATGATTATGTATGCTCGGATTTGCTTTATAATTTTGTAGCTACTTTTATTTCTTTATATACCTGTTGTTTACTTGTTTTATTTTGGAAATTTTTTATACAGAAAAATAATTTTAGAATTCAGTTGATTTTTGCATTTTAATTTAGTTTTATTGTTATCAAGCTCACAGCAGGATAACTGTCATTCGTATTGTTGGTGCGCTGCAGGTAATTGTATTCTAATAATTTCAATTAATAATTAAAATCGTTTCTGAATAAGTGTGTTCATTTTTTCATGATGCTATAAATTTCCGGGATAATTATTTGCTGTTGATGGTGTGATGTCATTGCTTCATATATATCCGATCAAAAGCTGGAAACTTCATGCTTTAAAAAAATGGATTATGAGATTCGAAATCGGAGTTGGACGGAATAACATCTGTTTTCTAGAGATACTTGAGGAGAGTTCGAGAGCAGCTTTTTTGTCAGTGATGGAAACTTTAAAAAAGAGTATAGTATTGTTTAAATTATTTCGGGATTATTTTAAATGACTAAGGTGGAGTTTGTGGCCGTCCTAGTATCTGGCAAATATGGATGATTTCTAACCGCTTTCTCATCGTGATGATATGATCTGTAATTCTTTTAGATAAGTAGTACAGTTAATAAGGATGAGAAGCGGACGAGGTAAATAGTTTTCTGTCAGCTGTTTTAATCAACTAACAAATGTCAAAAAATAGATTCATTTGAGATAATTCAGATTGCTTTTCCCAGAACGAGATCATATTGAGACAAAATGAATCGTTTACGGAAGCAGCAGGAGGAGACGGATAAGATGACACGTATTGCCATCGTCGAAAAGGATCGTTGTAAACCAAAAAATTGTGGCCTTGCATGCAAAAAATCGTGCCCCGTTGTACGAATGGGTATTTCTTTTGTTTGCGGAGAAATTTTGAAGGAATAAATATTGTTTTAGCCTAGATTTTTCTTCTGTTTTATACCTTTCTGATTGTTAAACAGGTCAATTGTAAGATTATGAAGTTGCTAGCAAAAATCGAGTTTATTATCTGGCAGTCCAATCTACAATTTCAATTATTAGAAGATAAAGTCAGGGATCTGGCTCTAATTTAACTTCATTTCAACCGTAATAAATGGTGTGTAAGTAATTTGCTTTACAAGACAGATATTTTATCACATAGTTTTTAAATTTAGGGAAGCAGTGCATCGTCGTGGAAACCAATTCAAAAATGTCGGAAATATCCGAAACTTTATGCATTGGATGCGGTATTTGTGTGAAGGTGTGTTTTTTGAAAAGCTGTTTTTGAAATTTTAAGTTTGGAATTTCCATCCGTCCAAAATTCATGTGCGCCTTAAGTTTATTAAAATTTTCTTAAAAGTGATAACAGAGAATGGTTTTCATTGCAACAAATATTGATAATCATACGTACTATAAAATTTAATTAGTACACAATATACCAATAATTTACCAACTTGATAACTTAGAATACTTTGCAGCTAAAATAGTTGATAATGAATCGATTTTCAAGATCCATGTTTATTTTTATCTTATTTCGACATTCTAGATTTAAAAATTTTTAAATAAGACATTATCAGACTATTCGACCAATCAACGCATCGTTTGACAATGGTAACATGACCCATAGTTTTGGGAAGAGGTTTATGATACCAGTCATTAGCAGACATTGTTGAATTGTTGGTGATTTGGATTCTTTTTATAACTCCTATTTTGGAAGTTGCACTATATCCAACAAACAATTATTTTTCTGAGCTTTAAATTTCAGGAAGCGTTTTATACTACTGTTCAGTACTATAGAAAATTTGCACTGGAAACTGTGTATCATATGCAGTTTCCAGTGCAAATTTCCTTTTTCCCAGGTATTTCCCTTCATATAATTTTTCTATTTTTTCTTTTCAGAAGTGTCCTTATGAGGCAATAAAAATCATAAATTTGCCTAGCAATTTAGCTAAAGATACAACTCATCGATTCAGTAAAAATTCTTTCAAATTGCATCGGCTGCCGACGCCACGTACTGGAGAAGTTCCTTTTTTATATCTTCATAACAATTTTTCCTGTTTTAAAACTTCGGTATTAGTCGATTAATATTGCTTAGCCTTGACATTAGACATACATAAAGAGACATTTGCATAACTTTAGGAAATTTCAAAACATTGAAATATCCAAAAATGTGACGCGAGGTTTGTAAATGTATGTCTCTAAAAATTGCTCGTTTTGTCTGAAGATATTTCAGTGGCTACAAAAAAGCTTTAAATATAATTCTTAGGTGCTGGGTCTAGTTGGCACAAATGGAATTGGGAAATCGACGGCGTTGAAAATTCTGGCTGGAAAATTAAAGCCTAATCTCGGAAAATTTGAAGTTAGTGACAAAAATATCCTTTGCAAATGTATTTATTAAATTTCATGGTTTTCAGGGACACAGTGTCCAACTTTATTTTTTAATATGCGTGCATGAGTTTCTAATTTTGATATGCGTTTTCTGAGTTATGGATTCTTAGACTAGATAAATCAATAAAATTATGAGTGTTGCAGTCTCCTCCTGATTGGCCATCAATCTTGGCTTATTTTCGTGGTTCAGAGCTGCAAAATTATTTCACGAAAATATTAGAAGACAATTTAAAGGCCGTTGCAAAGCCACAATATGTTGATCAAATTCCGAAGTATGTGATTTTCTTGTCAATTTTTTTCTCTAATAACGGTGACATTGTTACTTAGATGTATATGATCCACGCAACAATAGTATTTTATTTTTTTATCTTATAAGAATTTTTATTTTTTCTTAAGGACATGAGAAAATATGATAGTGAATGAACTACCTTATGTGTACGGATTTCATTGGTCATGCTCCACCATTACTGTTAGATAATTGTGAATAAAACTGTTGCGCAAAAAATGGTAAGAAGTGAAAAAAATGGATATTTTACATAATCCGAAAAACTTGAATGGTTTTTTAAATAACTTTTCAGTGTGCAGGAAGAACGAAGTTATTTTCTCTGGTGTTTCTTTTGTTGTTGAGGATTATTTTAAATTTTCAGAGCAGCGAAAGGACAAGTGCAAGAATTATTGCTAAAAAAATGTGACCGGGAAAACTTGTCACAAATTTACGAAGAGTTAGGTATATTCTTCGTTTTTTGAAAGCCTTACTAAAATTCGTTTATTAACTTGTTCGAAATCTTGATGTTAAAGAAATTCTTAGATTTTGTGTTTTTTGAAAGGATTTTAACAATCAGTACCATTTTCCAGAGCTTAACGGTGTCAAAGATCGCATGCTCGATCAGTTGTCCGGCGGGGAACTGCAGCGTTTTGCCATAGCGATGTGTGTTGTGCAGCATGCTGATGTTTACATGTTCGATGAGCCGTCCAGTTATTTAGATGTAAAACAGCGTTTGAAAGCAGCTAAGATTATTCGTGATTTAGTAACACCCCATAAGTAAGTTTCTTTAACATATTTAAAAACCTAATTTCGAGTTTTTTGGAGTGAATTAAAATAGATACATTGTTATTTAATCTTATATTTGAGCTTTTATTTCAGAATTATTAGATGGGTCTTTATGCGACAAGCAATAGATTTTTAAACTTTTTCAGACTAAATGGTCTTTTTTTCAGCTATGTCATTGTCGTAGAACATGATTTGGCGGTACTGGATTATCTCTCTGATTATGTATGTTGTCTGTATGGTATGCCCGGGGTTTACGGTGTTGTAACCTTGCCGTCCGGTGTTAGGGAAGGCATCAATATATTTTTGGATGGCTTTATTCCAACTGAAAATATGCGTTTCAGGTATAATGTTCAATTTTTCTGAAGCAAATTTTAGTTTATTTTGAATTAAAAAGAAGATCTAGAATCATGTAAATTTTTATTTTTCAATTTGAGCATTGCAGAGATTCTGAATTATCCTTCAAAGTCACTGATCAAGCGGAGAAAGAAGTGGTTAAACGGACAGCTCGTTATACATATCCATCATTTACTAAGCATATAGGGAATTTTGAATTAAAAGTTGAAGGTGGTGAATTTACTGATTCGGAAATAATTGTCATGCTTGGAGAAAATGGTACTGGAAAAACGACAATGATTAGGTTTGTTTTGTTTTAGAGATGAGGTTGATATTGAGATTTTAAAATGAGAAAAATTCAAGTCCCCGATTGTTTGCGTTCTATCTGAAGATCTTATGAGTATATGAACTCTTCGAAAAAAAAAACTTGTTTTGAAGTAATAACAGTAACATTCAATATACTACATTGAAAAAAATCTTTTTGCTGAGTATTGAAAGACTGTTTTTTCCGGGAAGTATATTTTCTTTCTAGTTTAATAAATCATTATTGTATGATATACATTCATTGAAAAGTTTATTTTTGGATTTGTGTCTTTAATTGAAAGAAAAGAGAATTCGAGGTGATTTTGAAAAACACTTTAGGATTCTTGCTGGCAATTTACAAGTGGATGATGATTTAACGGAACTTCCACGGCTGAATATATCTTACAAACCGCAAAAGATCAGTCCAAAATCACAATGTTCTGTGCGGCATCTTTTGTATGAAAAAATACCTGATATGATTAATCATGCACAATTTAAGACGGATGTTTTATCACCATTAATGATCGATGATTTGCTCAACCTTGAAGTAAAGTATCTTTCCATTAATCGTCCCTGTCTTGAATTTTACACAATTTTGTTTACTCTGAATTATTTTTGCTAAATTTTGAATCATCGATCTTGGTTGG